ATGTGAATGCAGCCATTGCAACAATCAAGACCAAGAGAACCATTCAGTTTGTAGATTGGTGTCCTACTGGATTTAAGGTGGGTGGATAACTATTGAGGAGTGGAGCAGTCTGTTTCAATTAAAATTATATCAGTGTTGAAAATGTTCGCCTTCAGTATTTTAAATAGAGATGTGTTTACAGGATGTAAGTGTAGGAGCAGTAGTCTCCCCTCTTCTTGATGATTATTGGAACTAAAAAGAAATATTGTCTACGTAATCTGATCCTGCGGTAGAGTGCTTGAAAAAACTAAGAACCCTATGGTTAAATGCTTAGAATATCTTAGTCGTTTTACAGGTCGGCAAGAGATTGATAGAACCAGACTTTTAGTTTTCAGTTTTAAAAGCCTCCAAGAAAACAGAATTAACTTTGAAATTGATCAATGCAATTAGAGTTTAGCCTTTCTCTCTCGGCGTGGAAAACTCCAATGGATTATAACAAATTAGTTGAGAGATTCCGGGCTTTCATTAATTTAATTATTGATTGCTATTTTACCTCATTTAATTTTCAGGTTGGAATCAATTACCAGCCCCCCACTGCTGTTCCTGGAGGAGATCTGGCCCGAGTTCAACGTGCTGTGTGTATGTTGAGTAACACCACAGCTATTGCTGAGGCCTGGGCCCGACTGGATCACAAGTTTGATCTGATGTATGCAAAGCGTGCGTTTGTCCACTGGTATGTGGGTGAGGGTATGGAGGAAGGAGAGTTCTCTGAGGCTCGTGAAGATTTGGCAGCATTGGAAAAGGATTATGAAGAGGTCGGAGTGGATTCGGCTGAAGACGAAGGGGAGGGGGAAGATGATGAGTATTAAAAATCTTCATCTGCTGGCTTGGGTGTGTGTGGGGGAGGGGAGGAGCAGGGGAAGTGTTGTCGAAGCAAAGTAACCTTGATTGGCATCTTGTTGCCAAACGAGACTCACGGTTTTGAACGAAATCTACCCCAATCCTAAGAGCTTCGTTCCAAATAGGTACCAAGATATTTAATTCCATTTGATGAAAGATTGTATTTATTCTAGAAAGTTCGTTTATTTTACCAACTTGTTATATTCCTTAAGAAGGTGCGATTTTGAAATGAGTATGACAGTCATCGGGGCGATCCTAGGAAAGTCCTGAAGTTTGAGAAGTATATACATATGTTGTTAGCAAAGGTGTGATATCATAATAAATTACCACCTTTTGCGATAATGTATTAAACGCTACGCCTCTTCATTTGAGTCCAAGATTAGAATGCGAGCGGCTGGCAGTTGTATTGATCCCTGACTTACTAACCCTGACCATCTCCCACTCACTGCCATAGGAAGCTTAGTTGCAAAATACTAAAGTTTAACCAACTTGCAATGTGGCATACAGATTAAAAATGTGATAAAAGAGCGTAAGACTGCAATCCTTGTTCGTTTGTTAACACTGATCAAAAGAGACACGGAGGGGGAAAAAAATCCTTCAGACGTCATTTGCCATCAAAGCAAATGTAATATGTGCTTTCGTTAAAAATAAAAAAAAAACGGGTGAATTATTTAAAAATACCTTGAGCTGGTCTACACGAAAGTAAGTCAATGCACTTACAATTGGCGCGTGTTGTTTGGTTTTGTTATCGGCAGCGTATCCCGAAACTAAGACGAACAGAAAAATTTTATTAAAAAAAACGCACTAATTGTTCATTGTTTCGCAAAACATTGATATTTTTCTCGAAGGAAACTTAGTTTCGAGTTAAAAACAAGAAAAGTGAAAAGGGCCCCGTTCCCCTTCATTCGTCCACCCTCAGCCCCGCCCCCTTGACTCCTCCAAGCTTAGCCCCGCCCTTGGTAATAATTTGTAACATGCATCACCTTTGCGACAATTATTACGCAAAAAGGACAGTAAATCTGTTAAATACATATTTCAGCATGATACACTTACCAACAAGGGTGTACAAAAATCTATTCACGTTTAAAATGTGAAACTGCATTCCTAGTATTTACTTATCTATTCTGGTTTTAGGCACTATTTGGGTAACATTGTAATTTAATCAGAGAAACAGCATTTGAGTTCATATTTGTAGTGAAAATGGTAGCCTGTGTTCAACTTAGATCCAACCACGACAAATTACTATACCGCAAAAAACGTTCTCAATTTTATGCCGGAACTCCCAAACAATGGCAGATGGAGGTCTAGTTACATTCATTATAATTCATTAAAAAAATTTGCATATATGCAGGCAGATAGTTTTCATATGCTGAGCACAAATTGACAGATGTCTTGAGAGAATTTTTTTCTGGCTTTATGCAAGAGCAATCCATATTCTTTTCTCCCTCGAAGGTTTCAATCTGAAAATGCCCAGAGCATTTGCTTTTAGGTTGCTAAAACAAAACCGGCGCTAAATGAAATTTTCATGAATGGAAAATCACATTGTTACTTAATAGAAACAGCATCACACGGCGGCTTACTTTGGGGACCACAATTAATATGAAATTTTTCACCCTAAGCCAATCAGATAACGTAAATAAAATATTATTTGTGCCGACATAAGTCTCCAGCTGATTTATCTTTTCAATCTTTTTGATTTTATGTTAATTTTCGTCACCATATAAACTAAAACCACTTAGTTTCCCCGTCACCTGCCATGCAAAGGAATACAATAGCCTTGCTTCATTGATTATGTTCAAACCACTCCCGTTTTCGAAAGACGTTGCTGCTATTTCGGAGCTCGGAAACTCACCAAAGTTTTCCCTCGCTAATTTTTGGACAAGATCCCCAAATAACGTTATTTTAAAATGGTAATACTATTTTTTTTTCCAAATGCGATCTTTTGTACCGGGTTTGGAATAATTACAGGCAAACGCTTCTGATCATTCAACTCTGATATTGCGAAGAAATCTTTTCGGAATCATTTCCATATTTTGCGCAATATGAAAATTTAAGCGCTCCCGTTTTTCCTTCCATTTCAGCGTGAGTGTATTTCTGTCCACGTTGGTCAGGCCGGAGTTCAGATCGGTAATGCTTGTTGGGAGTTGTACTGCTTGGAGCATGGAATCCAGCCTGATGGTCAAATGCCCAGTGACAAGACAATCGGTGGAGGAGATGATTCCTTCAACACATTTTTCAGCGAGACTGGAGCAGGAAAACACGTTCCTCGCGCCGTCTTTGTTGATTTGGAGCCAACTGTTGTCGGTGAGAGGCGTTTGGAATTTTCCTTTTATATCATTCTTTGAATTAAAGTTTTAAAGAGCGAATGAAAATTGTCAAAGTTTGGCGTTGCCTGTTTCCTTTGAGTTTTTTTCTTACAATCTCATTAATGATTAATTATCGAGCTCAACCAAAACATTACAGTTCTGTTGATAAGCAATATTGTTATGAAATCTGTTTAATCTTCCTTGGTTAGATCTGAATAATGCACCTGACTGACTCGAGCTGAGGCATAACGTAAAATACACAAATACTAAAAACAAAAAATATTATTGTTGTAATTATATAGCATTATTTTTTTGTTTTTTAGATGAAGTTCGCACTGGCACTTACCGACAACTGTTTCACCCAGAACAGTTGATCACCGGCAAAGAGGATGCCGCTAATAACTATGCCCGCGGACACTACACTGTTGGCAAAGAAATGATTGATCTCGTTTTGGACAAGCTGAGAAAGTTGGTAAGAACGCTCGCATATGACTTAATGCTGTTGTGGCAGACTGTGCTTAAAAGCAGAAATCAGATAGCACAATTAGAGATCGTGCTACCTACAGGATACACCACACAAATAATGAACCGGCTTTGTCCTAATGAGCCAAAATATAAGCATTTATTTTCGATTTATGCAAAACGGTGCTGAGAAGTAGCTAATATCAGCAGTTACTGCATTTTGAGGAGAAAAATGATAATCGGTCTTTTTTTGTCGTGTGATAACGATAATATCAATAATGATGACAATAATGATTATAATAATGATAAACACCGGCAAGTTTATAAAGTCAAGAAATTCAGCAGCTTGTCCAAGTTGACTGAATAACTTTAGCCAAACTGGTTAAACTTTTGATTTTCTTGGTCTAGGCTGATCAGTGCACTGGCTTGCAAGGTTTCCTTATTTTCCATTCCTTTGGTGGTGGTACTGGCTCTGGATTCACATCATTGCTTATGGAGCGTCTGTCTGTGGACTATGGCAAGAAATCCAAGCTGGAGTTCTCCATTTACCCAGCTCCGCAGGTCTCTACGGCGGTTGTGGAGCCTTACAACTCCATTCTGACTACTCACACCACTCTGGAGCACTCTGACTGTGCCTTCATGGTGGACAATGAGGCCATCTATGACATCTGCCGTCGTAACCTGGACATTGAGAGACCCACTTACACCAACCTGAACAGACTGATTGGTCAGATTGTGTCGTCCATCACTGCATCGCTCCGTTTTGACGGTGCCTTGAATGTGGACTTGACAGAGTTTCAGGTAAGCTGTATCTGAATCTCAGCTTTCCTTATCATGACGATAAGGTGGTGATATAAAATGGGTATCACTTCTGTCACAGGTGTCAAATCATTTTTATATCTATCATGTTGTCTTATCTAGACCAACTTGGTACCATACCCTCGTATTCATTTCCCTCTGGCCACTTATGCTCCAGTGATCTCAGCAGAGAAAGCCTATCATGAGCAGTTGACAGTTGCTGAGATCACAAATATGTGCTTTGAGCCAGCCAATCAGATGGTAAAGTGTGACCCACGTCACGGCAAATACATGGCCTGCTGTCTTTTATTCCGTGGTGATGTGGTGCCCAAGGATGTGAATGCGGCCATTGCAACAATCAAGACGAAGAGAACCATTCAGTTTGTAGACTGGTGTCCAACTGGATTCAAGGTTTGTTCCAAGTAGATGTCCTCAGAGAATGATACGTAGTGTACTGAATGCTGGTGCAAGTATAAACTATTTGAGTTGTACAAACAGCTGCGCTCCGTCTCTTAGCTTAACAAGTTTTCTGTTATAGGTTGGAATCAACTACCAGCCTCCCACAGTTGTTCCTGGTGGTGACTTGGCCAAAGTTCAACGCGCTGTATGTATGTTGAGTAACACCACAGCTATTGCTGAGGCCTGGGCCCGACTGGATCATAAGTTTGATCTGATGTATGCAAAGCGTGCGTTTGTCCACTGGTATGTGGGTGAGGGTATGGAAGAAGGAGAGTTCTCTGAGGCTCGTGAAGATTTGGCAGCATTGGAAAAGGATTATGAAGAGGTTGGAGTGGAATCTGCTGCGGGAGAAGGCGAAGATGATGAAGGGGATGAGTACTAAGAACTATCGTCTGCTGCAGTTCAATTCCATGTTAAAGTCTGTAATGGCGCAGAGAATTAGAGAACGTGAAAAGAAAAATAAAACATGTCCAATAAATAATTTGTATGCATATTAGAAAAGCGATCAAGTCTAAGCAAGTGGGTCGTCAGCCGGCCGGCATATTTTGGTTTCTATGACGCAAAACGATCAGCAGCACTGTTACTCCTCCTCAATCGTGGGGGGATGTTAGTCAATTGCAGACTACTCCTGACCTCCCACCTCCCCTCCCCTCCCCCTCAATTCGCCGAGTATCATTGTCAGGTTGGTGGTGGCCATTCATACCCCTCAGACGTTACCTCATAGTACACTTGAAAACACTTAACGTAACGGTTACGAATTTATGATTCCATGAGTGTGGATTTCAATTCTTGATGAGAAAATAAAACGACTGTAATGTTTTTCTCTTATCTACGATTATCGATGCGAGAAGAAACTCGTGAGAAAACTTAGAATCGGCATTTTTTTTCCTGCAAAAAGAGATAGGTTGCTTTTCCTACTCCCTTCGCATTTGTCTGCTTCAGTATAATAAACAAGAAGAGACTGGAGAGACTGTCAGAATCACGAGGCGCATTTTACTAGAGAAAGAGTAATTCGTGCGTGCAACATTAGGCTTGATCCACACCATGTAG